TCTGTCTGTCTGTCTGTCTGTCTGTCTGTCTGTCTCTGTCTCCCGCTGAACAAGAGCGCAGGGACTATTCAATTAATCCAAAGAAAATGTCTTGTCAAGTGACTCGTGTTCTCAGGGTCTCCTCATCTTTCACTATTTTCATACTCGGACTGTCTAGAACTCTGGTGTGAGGTCAGCAACATGTTTGATCCAAATCGCGGTTGTGGCCACGAACTTTCTGCACCCCACGATCACGCGCCACGCACCACCCACCACCACTACCACTACCACCACGACCACCACGACGACCACAACCACTCTTAAAAGAAATGGAGAGGTCCTGTAGACAGTGCCATAGTGGCGATGAACCACATCATGAACTTGTGGAGCCTGCACGTGTCGACTTTTTTTTCAGCAAGCTACCAGGCTGTCAGCTCCCAATAACTGGACGCAGAATAGCTCACTCTTCTTAAAGGAAACTCCCGCCGCCTGAGGGCGGGAGGGAGCTTCCTTGAAGAAGCGCTCGCAGTATTGATTTGTTAGATTTTTCAGGAAACCTGTTCTTCAACAAAAAATATTCTATACATTGCACAAGAGTGGCATGCTGCTGGGCTATGTCTGAGTAGACTGTCGCTGTGTAGGGAGAAAGGGAAGGGCTAGACCTTGCTTCAGTTGCACAAGCAGCTCTTGTCGTCGGTAGTCTAGATGAGTCTAGATGTTATCGTGTCGCCCAATAATTGCAATCAAACAGGGATTGGGTATGCAATGCTGTTAGAGCATGCACCATAAAAGTGCCTTAAAAGGCCCCTGTGCCCATGCACCTGTTTGCAAATATCGAATGTAGCTCCTTGAGGGCAACTACAGCAGAATGGGTCATTGATCTGTGTCTGACCGACCTTAGGAAGCACTTTCAACACCCAAATCAATCCAGCTTCTGAGAAAGAAAGCTTCACGATTTGCAGCATTCAGTGTGATTCATGATGGAAACAAGTCAAGTCATTGAATTGTGAGCATGTGTCTTGATTGCCACTTGCTGGTGCTGGTCAAATATGTTCTTTTGAGTTTTTTTGAAAGTGCATTTGCACGGCACTCACCACTCTTCTCCCACTTGACTCTCTCAGTTTCCTACTGATAATACAGTGCATCGGCCTGAACAGGTCGAGCACGCAATGGAGCCACGTCACATAATGATGATATTCAAATTGCAACTTCTACCTGCCATTTTTGGGGGCATGACAAATGTGTGAACTTTGTGTTAAGGAGACCGACTCGAGCTTTCTTGAGCCCTTGTGGCGGAACATTCCCCACCTTCCAAACCCTAACTCTCTCTGGTCTACATTCTACATGTTCTTCAAGAGCAGCGATTCGATTGAGAATGCCAGGTGTTCAAGAAGGGATTCACAGACTCAAACGATCTCAAAAGTACACAGTTTTCTGAGCGTTGCTGTGACCAAGCTGCTTTCGCATGGATCTTGCCGCATGCCACAGGTCTCGCCAGTAAACCAACTTCGTACCTCGAAGCTCCGAAAAAGTCTGCAAAGCACTCGATGCGTCCATGCTTGGGATGAGATAGATTGGCCCAAGAGTTGAAAGCTACTGGTCAAAACAAGCCTTGTTTCGGACTTGTGTCACATCGTTAAGATCTCAATAGCTAAGATTCCACAAAAAGTCTATGAATCTCCCTGGCCTGCCTTTACAACAAGAATCAACACTGTGCAACTACTGCCGCAACCAACACTCAAATGCGTTTCTGCTTGGCTTAGTTTCACCATGCTTTACCTGCACAAATCCTGGCTTGACGCAGCCTGGCACAAGGCTAGAAACGGGAGGAGGATGATCAAAATGCCTCGGATCAAGGAGCTCCACTCATCCCAACAGTACCATGGAATTCATGCACATGCTCCAAGCATATTCAAACTGCACATGCTCCAAGCATGCCAGCAACTTCTGGCTCCTTCTAATGTCAATGCTGCAAATTATGTGCAACCCAGCTACAAAGGGCGGCTCCACAACCAATCACACAATATCGAGGCCTGCAAACTCTGGCAAACTGGAACGGGGGACTCTCCCAATCAGGGTTTAATGGAGCTGAACGTGCTTGGTTTGCTTCACCTGTTCCGTACATGTCCGCTGCAAGTCGTGGAACTCTGAAAAGAAGCAAATAAATGCATGATTTTCAGAAGGACATGAAAGATCTAGGACAAACAAGTTGGCAGATCTGAAATCACAAGATGGTCGTTTTCACTGCCTGTAACCATAGGTGGGCGTCTTAGCCTTGGCGTAACTTCCTTGGCCTGCGACGTTGGCGTGTAGCAAGTGGCTACACCGGCCACTCAGCTGCATTTCATCTATCAGGATAGACTGTTGGTGCCGTGTGGACACATCGTTTGTGGAGAGCTCGTTTCACTCACATGGAGTTCCTGTTAACCTCAATTTTGCTCACACTTTTTGGTGTTAGAATGCAATAATGCGATAGGCATGACTTAACTCCAGTGCGCAAGAGACGTTGTTGCTTGCTCCGGCACTTGTCGTGATTTCCAACACAGGAGGGGCTACAAAGCATTCCATTGCTTAACGTCTTTCAGCTAAAATCCAGAGGAGCTGGACCAAGCACACCGACAGAGGTTGAATTTGTTCAAGCTCCACTTCTTCAAAGGCACACCACTGATATTTGAGACATAACAATTCCAGAAAAATGGGTGAACTGCCTAGGAAGCCGCATCAAAAAGGAAACGCCTTGATGGACTCCCGATCGAGGCCCGATTGGTTTCTAACTGAACTCCTCTCGCCTGGGTTAACTTCAACAAGACGGCTCTCAATGTGGCCCAGACCTGCTGCGAGTGGACGGGCACGTCCACTACACACCGGGCCCCACAGTTCACGCTGCGCCGCTGCGCTTGTCTTGAATCGGTACCATCGGTCTGTACAGGAAAAAAAATAGTAGGTGGAGAAAAATTGGACGAAACTGTGCCCAGGCCGACCATCTTCTTGAGCCATCCCTTTGTTGAAGTAGATAGTTCGAGGGTGTCATGTTTTCACCATATTGGCGGTTGTTGTTACCCCATGTCAAACCAACATCTTCCCGAAGGTGAAAATGAAAAGCAATCGAAGAGCTTTAAAAGGACCTCAAATTGGCACAAAGACAAAACATATTCTTATGCTGACATGGCAACCAGATAGCTGCTTACAAAAAACAAAGACAAAAACAAAACCCTCTCAATTTGATGTTAATTCTGGAAGGTGCAAAAAGTACAGTACACAAAAAAGAATCAAAAAAAATAAGCAAGAACAAAGACATTGTGTCATATCGAGAGATAACTAAAAAACGAGAGCTTCCAACGAATCTTTCGACGAATCAATGTCGGGCTGCACAGCGACGCGCGCGGGTTCCACGCACAGGCTCACCGCATGTTGGAACACTCAAACAGACTCACCGCTGGAAACTGCTCGACCGCGCTCTGAGCCGCCCAGCCAGGACCAGTGTAGGTGATTGACTCATTGACACCATCCTGGTACTTCTGATAGAAAAGTCCTGAGCTTCGCACTGACAAACATTCTTGGAAGAATTCTAATGAACAGAACTGTCATTTACTTTCTTGCAGATTCTTGAACGGGCCTCAAGGAACTCAAAAAAAGACTCTTTAAGGAAGAACCCTCGCTGTATGGAAACACTTCCGAAGTTTGTGGGATTGCAAAGCCTCCAAAGATAGTTGGGCCTTGGATTTGGGATTCACCCTCCGACCTACCTCAGTTGCAGAATAAACCACTGCAAGCCCTGTCCATGCAAGCTATTTCAGGGCAGGGAGCCGAAAAGGTAGTCGCCTGGAGAGTGATGTCGTGATGCGAATCAAAAGAACTTCAAGGCAATTGAAGTGTAGCCAGATCGACGGGCTCAAGCAAACTGGATGGATACATAAAGCGATCTGGAAAGAGATGTCACAGTGCAAACACGATTGTGAAAAGTTGGAGAAGAAACTGTCCACCAGCACCTTGAACGATGGCCACAAATTGTTGTGTAAATATGTGCAAATAAATGTGTGATACAAATCTTGTCTCCATCCTGCTCTCGCCTAGGCCGAAGCCGCCGCCGCCACCCACAGCTCCGCCGCCACCCACAGCTCCGCCACCAACCACAGCTCCGCCACCAACCACAGCTCCGCCGCCAGCCAAAACCTGAGGACAGGACTGCCTTACTGCGAAGAAAACACCACATCTGATGATCTGAAAGATCAAAGTTTTTTCCCAAGCCAGTCATGACAGCATATGATAGATAGATTGATTGCTTTCTGTGCAAACCCTAAGCATCTTATACACGTCCATGAAACCCTCGAGTCTGCTCCGTTTCCTTAGCTCTTGACAGCCGGCATGTTCAGTCAGTAGATCCTCAAATCGACAAAAGATCAATCCTCTTGCACTGTTTAATATATATATATATATCTGTTGAGACTGGAATCCAGTACACGAGATGAACAAAATGACTCCGATTTCGACTCGCCCTGAGCCACCCGTCCAGCTGGTCAACGCGGATGTCACAAACGAGCGCCCACAAGCTGAAACCAGAAAGCCCAGTTGGGCCAAGCGGGGCCGAGGCTCAAGAGTCTGCACGTGGAGGCCAAGCAGGCTTGCGGAAGTGCTGCAACCGCAACAACTTGCTCACATTAAAAAAGATAACACACACCCAGTCAGGCAGTCACAGGTGGGTTGCACATCCATTTCACCATTTGACCGCGATGTGTGAGCATTGATCCTCACCAAAGCCTCAAAGGCTCAAAATTAAAGGTCTTAAATGCACCTGCTGGAAGAGCAAAGTGCGAGGTGTCAATCCTCTTGGGTTCTGGTGCGACGGCACAAAACAGCCAGTGCGGAACGTCAAAACGCCTTGTGGAGATTTGCAAAAGGATCCCAACACGCTAAATGGCACTAGTTGTGATTCGACCAACAATCCAGAAAACATCTCTTTTGGCTCAACCAACTTTGCAAAACTTGAGCACCCTTCTTGTTGTTGAGCTTTTGAGCCCTGAATTTGTGCCGTCAGCACGGGCCAGCATGCTGTCTCCCCCTCTCAAATCACTCCATCTTTCCAATGCTAGCACATCTAGCCCCTTGATTCCACGATTACATTTGACACAAGAGAGGCTTTTCAGACATGCAGCCTGGCAAAGCCCCCTATCTGATCGTATCTCTGCAAGATAACATCAGCGCCCGGGCGCTTGCCCTGTTCTAGAAACTGATTGGCCACATCAGAGCCATCTCTCTGATCAGCCACCGGCATCAAAGGGGGTCCTAGCAGCCCCTCTGTTGCAGGGGAGGAAGCGCACGCACTGCCAGTGAATCTCACTTGGGTACAAAGTTGAAGTGGTCACAACCAAGTTTTGCTTGGCCTCCCGTGGACCTCTTATCAAGCTCTTCTCTAAACATGGCCAGTCTTCCTGGAGGCCTTCCCTGGCACACCAAGCAGGAGATGTGTGAAGGTTTGGGAGGCACGACGCCTGATTCATTCGGCTTGAAGTGCTGTGAGTGTGAAAGGAGTCCGGTCTGAAGCCACAAGGCACGATGTTGAGCTGTTGCCTTGACCAAATGGATATCTGCAAATGGACTGCGCAAGCAAAAAAGTGGCCGTGAACTCAGGGTGTTTGATGACATAGCCCAAACTCAAAACCACTGGTACAACCCAATGCATGGATGTATGTGTGTGTGCGCGTTGGTTTACATGAATCTTTGTTGAACGTATCTCCTCACTTTGCTAGCATGCACGCAGCACAGTGCTTCTCATACTCTCGTATGATTTACCATTCTTGGCTTGTGGCATGGACTCGTTCTTCATCGAACCAACGTACTTGTCCACCGTCAGTCAGCAGTAACCAGCATCTAGAATTGCCTATGTCTTTGGTATTGTGACCGCATGACCCAGGAGACAAAGCGAAAGCCAATACGCAAGTAGGAAGTCACTTGGCAGAGCGGAGCTAAAAGCAATTGGGGCGGTCTTTTTGCACCGCCAAGACTTGGATTGCCTCGCTTCAAAAAGAACGCAAAGAAGAAAGGTTTAACGAGCCTTGGAAACTGGCCTTTGAATGCCTATGAGGCATTTTGATGCACTCCAAATCTGGAACGAGCTAAATTTTGGAACACAGCTACGGTGCACGCCTCAGATGCCTCATGACCAAGCTTCCACTGTGTAGCCTCAGCTAGCGAGGTTCAATTCCTGTTGAAATTCTGATCCCAGCTCAGCACAAACGTTCTCTTTCTGGTTCTTTGTAAAGAACAAAACGTCGCAACCTATCCCCTTGGGTTCGGACGACCCTCCATCTTCAGGTTCGACAAGATGGCCTCTGCCTCGTCCTCATTCACCTTCTCATTGGCCATCATCACCTCCAGAACACAAAAGGAATCTCTTCTAAACAAAACCACCCCAAATAAATCTCCACCAGCAGTACAGCTCTTGTCAACTTGGTGGAAATGACAATGAGAAGAAAAACAGAAGGGGTTCCAATCAGCACCCGAATGCCTCCTTCATTGCGGTGTAGATGTCCTCAGGCACTTGCCTTGCAGAGCCGCAAACGTAGAAGTGGCCCTCCTGCTTCAGCATGCACTCGTGCACTTCCTTGCCGGCCTGATACGAGTACAAGGAGTGACCAAGCACAACTGGCTGATGAATGACCGAACATCCTGTGTCCTCACACAAAACAAGAGGTTTACAGTTCACAGGAAAAAGGTGGACATTCTTGACCCCTTTGTCGGGAAGCTTGTTTAGTTCAATCTTATGGTTATAAAGTTCAGCAAATGCGCCTCTACAATCTTATGCTGCACGTAGATCTTGCGGGCCTTGGCCAAGCAAGCTATTGAACTGAGAAGGCATAATGCATGCGAGCTGAGAAGCCTGTTCACGGGAGAAGGCTGTGTGCATTGACAGCACACCCTCCTTGACATAGCCCTCGAACTCGTCGCGATACAGGTATTCCTGGATCATGGACCCATCTCGGAAAAGCTTTCCACAAGGTTTCGCACGTTTTCGGTACCAGTGATCATCAGTGATCGTCATGTCACTATGAAACCATCCCAGGCTCCGCATTGTAGCGTGCACCGAAGAAGAGATGGCATGGTCCAACCTTGTTACCTTGTCGATGCTGGCAGATTCGCTCCTGGAAAAAGGTCGACTCACTTCACATGTCACTAGTTACCTTGCTGTTTTGCTTTCCTGCTGACTCACTGTGGCAAAAAGGATTCTTCAGTGCCACGAGCTTCCCCCGTGGACAGGTGAACTGTTGGTTGCCCCCAGCCTGGGTGACAGCTCTCCAGGGCGCAAGTCCAGTTCCCATACCAGCCATGATAACGGGCTTCACAGGGTCCTGGAGTGGATGGGTCGGATGTCGGATGAAACTGGTCGGTCCAAACGTTCAACTCAGCTGTAACAAGTGTGTCGATTCTTCCTTGGGAAGCACGATAGCACTTTGGCGCACAGCGCACATCATGGTGGTGCCAGGCTTCTGCTGACGCATGTAGCCTGCGAGAAATCCAACCGTGCAACCCCAGCAAAGTGACACAAGAAAAACTCATATCCGCCCCACTGCCAGCTTTGCGCCTGTGGCTTCGCCTAGTCGCAGCTCTTTGGTGCTCTCCACAGTCCAATCGACAAGCACCACACACAGCTGGATCTTGTCTGGGTGCATCAAAGGGCTGCTGGCAATGGAGTAGCCTCAGAATCAAGAGAGCCCAGTGCTTTATGCACAGTCCCTTTAATAAAGAATAAGCAAAACACTGCGGAAGATTCCTTCACCGTCCGTCGCTTCTTCCTTGGCAAATGCTGCTTTTCATCGAGAAACTTCGGGGCTTCAAGACTGGGATCATGTTGAGCAGCTGCTCAATGGGAGGTCGAGCGCTCTTGAACCTGACGAGCGAGCCCAAAAACCTAGCCACTAATAGTAAAAACTGAGAGGATGACTTATCAAAACACAGCAAAGCTCTTTTCAGCAATAAGTTGCTTAGCACCAGTAGGAAACACCTCTTAACAACAGTCCCACCTCTTGAATACATCAGCGTGATGTGCAAAGTCGTGGGTCAGATCTCTGTACAACGCCTGGCCCTCGGCATTGTTCTCCACGACGTTCTGCAGCGCTTTCTTGTCCGCCTCATCCTGCCCAAAGCTGGATTTCGCGGAGGCTGAATGGAAGTTCAAAACTGAAAATGGCTTGGGCCTTGGCAAAGAAGGAGAGGGTCTCGAAGAATTTTCGATTCGGCTTTCCAAAAATGTCCAACACGTGGCTGAAAAGCTGTCGCACAGACAGCTCTTGTGGACACCAATTCCTCGCACCTGGCAGTGACTGGCTGACAACTGTCATTTGAGAAAGTTGCGTAGGAACACCTCAGAAACATGATCTAGCCATTGCTAGAATCACATCATGATCATCATGTTTCATATCTTGGTCTAGAAGCAGGAGAAGCTGCATGCTGTAGATTATTGATACACCCTTCACTAGTCGCCGCCTTCCGTGGGCAGGACACGAAGAGTTTGTGTGGAGTCAAAGCCCATCTCTTTGCAAAATTCCTGGCAAACGGAAAGGCAAATGAGGCACCAACAGTCTTGTCGTCCAGTCGTTTCTTTGCCTTTCCCTCTTCCTGCTCTTTAATTTAAGGTCTCCAAATTAATTCAGTTCAAGGCAGTTGAGATCTCCAAAGTGTCAGATTCGCCTCTACTTTGTCGAAGGGGTTTCGTGGCCACACTGCCAGACTATCGCCCGTCTTATAGGTCACGTTGGTGCCTTCGATCCTCAGAACTGTGACGGTCCCTTTTTGCAGAACGGTGACGATAAGTCTTTCATGATTGGTCTTTTGAACATCCCAGAAAGGCATGAAAAGGCTACAAACCCTTGCTTGCTGGCTCTTGAGGAAGCTAGCTTGAGAAATACTAAGACTCAAGCCCAAAGGCACATGCTGATCCAGTTCTGATCCAACCCGTTTGCCAAAACTAGAGGTTTGCGGGTCCCTTGACGGTGAGGTGCTTGAACTCATAGTGCCGAATATCACGGTCATACTTCTCCGGCACCAGAAGAGAGTTGTGCAAAAGCGTCAGCTTGGAAGCGCCAGGCGGGACAATGTCATCGTCACTCGGGGGCTTTCCGCCGCCTGAGATTCAGCAATGAGCAGAATGTCAGTCGACCAGGGAATGACAAGTCAACGTCAGGTCAGTCAAGTCCACCCAGAATCTGAGGATCCCCTACTCACATCCACGCGGTAGCAAGGTGCTGGAGCCTCCTGAACAAACCCGAGTCGAACTTTTCGTCAAGGGACCAAGAGTCGCAGGAAACCGCGACCACTAAGACACGTCTCATCTATGAGAAGTGGCGACAGGGCCTGGCCTGGGACAGCGGCATTTGGGGCAAGCCCATGACTTTCCAAAGCTCAGGGAGCCACGCCTCCCATCCAGTGTAGTAGCGATCCTGACAGGTCGCATCTCGGTCGCATCTCGGTCGCATCTCGCCGTCACTGGAGCGTCAATCTCTACTTCCTGCCAAAAAGCATGTCGAAACATATCAAATACTACACACCACCAGTTAAGAGAACTCTTCCATTCTCTCAAAAAAGTTTTCATGTCAGTTACATCTCACAATTCTCGTGATCAACACCATAGTCGCGTCACCGTGCCTCGTCGCGGTCGTCGCCCACACCACGCTTCAAGAGGCGCTGACCACCCAACTCACCCAAGCGAGTGTCAAACTGAATGGCCGCGACGCAGAACTGGCCTCAAGCCGAACTCAGGTGGATGAGGGCATTCGCAACAACCAGCACTCTGAAGACTTGCTTGCCATTTGTATGTACACATTATAGTGTGATGAAGCACATGTTAGTCAAGAGCTGAGACGAACTCATGATTCAGATTCTAGGAAATCACACTTCAGGGGGTGCGTCTTGATTCTTCTTAACTTGAAAATTACCAACTTCCAAGCTGCTATATGTTGAATCACCCAGGCCGAAGACAGCGAACTTGGTGCCGGAAAGCCAGCTCATAGGCAACTCCTGACAGCTAAAGAGACATTTTGTGGGTACCATGCTGTACCTATTAAACCAAATCATTTGGACGTGATGGGAGTATTTCGGATTCGACTCCAATTACTACAGTTTTACTCCTGGGACTGAAGCTTCATCCACGTCTGCTTGCAGTTTGCAGGAAACTCGCCCAAACCACAAGTCGAGACCACCAGAATCACCTGACCGGGCTGGAAGATACAAAGTGCATGTGCGGAAAGCTCCTTTGACTGACAAAGCGGTCTGCGGTAGCATACACATATCTTTGATATGTTGTGTATGAGTACATCTGTGCATTGTTCGTACTCCTCCTTCATGCTTTGAGTTTTGGTACTCTATGCATGATTCTTCACTGAAAGGCCTCATCATCCGGGCGAGGATCCATGAAAGAAAAACATTCTTCCATCACCCGGTACATGTCGTTGGCCAAAGCTACATCATTCGCTCTCGTGGCGTGATACCAGGTAGCTTCTACCTTGGCCAATTCCTGTCTGGCCTTCAAGTCCGCCCTGTTGTAGGGCCTATTGAAAAAGTTGAACTTTTGTTCAGGGATTTCGATCGGCTCAGGCTGCCACTCATCAGGAGGTCCTTGCGGGACTTCAGGAGTAGTCGTGCTCTCCATGTCCTCATCTCCATCATCTCCATCATCACCTGGGCTAGGTTCCGGCTCAGGTGGTAGACTTCCTGTTTGTGCCACTTCTTGAGCAATCTCCACGTACTCAATTGGCACCTCGACCACCTCTCCATTGTCAAGTCGAATTGTGGCTGTGTCACCACTCAGCATTCGACTGTCCTCATCTGGTCCATCACCTCCATCATCTCTTGGCGGTCCAGGATCATCTGGTGAGAATCTGTTGGGAATCCTTGACTCTCCTTGCTCTCTTCTCCTTTGGTTGACCACATCCCACTGCACTTTAAGGTGCAATCCTTCATGTCGACGATTCACCTTCTCGATGTAGTGCAGGGTCTCCCACTCCAAGCCATCACGGATAGAGTGGTCCTCCACAAAGCCTCCTCTGTAAATCAGAGCTCGGTGGATCCGCTGGGTGTAGTCCATCTGCATTGACCATACTTTTTCTTGCTCGTCCAAAGAGCTCCTCGTGCTATACTTGCGCACCTCAATCTCACTCTCCAAGATCACGATCCTCTGCTCGAGCTCTCTGAACTTCCTCCTCAACCACCACACCAGGAAGATCGCCGCCAAGATCATGATCAGGTAGATGAACTTCTCGAGATAGTAGGAGCTTCCTCCCTCTGACAGGTCTGGTTCCACCCTTGCGCCAGTAGCCCACTCAAGACCGCTAACGAAGACCAGCCTGTTCAAATATTTTGCGATTTTCATCACCTTGCCCTTCTCAATGTGTTGCTCGCTGAACTGCTCAAACTCCCGTTGGCCTACTCGACCTCCATCTCCATCTCGGGCCTGCAACCAATAGAGTAGGAGTCTCAGCCTATGTTGGGAAAGAGGTTTCGTCCCGATGTCAGCCAGGTTGCGAGCTGTCCCAACTTGTCGCACCTCAAGGTCTCCCGATGCCACTTTGCTCTGGCGCCACAACAGTTTGCCACTAACGTGGCGCAACTTGCCTGCGCCTCGCTTGCATGCAATTTGCCTTGTAGCTGAATTGTCCACCCAGCAAATATGATGCACATCATCTCCTGTCAAGAACTGCAGACTATGCTTCAGGCATATGCCATCGCATGCTCCAGAAACCAACGCATGGAGTTCGCTCTCTGCAGATGACAGACTGACTACCTTCTGTCCCCTTGACGAACAGTGCACCACAATGCCATTGATGGTGTGAACTGCTGACGAAGTGCTTCTTCTGGTCACCTTATTGCCGCTCCAGTCTGCGTCGGTGTATGTCTCCAGGAGCCAGGTGTAGTTGCTATGCATATTCATTCCTTCTCCACGTTGTGGTAGAGGCAGCATCATCGATTGATCCTCAGTGTCCTTCAAGTAGCCCAGAAACTTCCTCATCTTCTGGATTGATATTTCTGTGGGGCTTGACATCTTTGAGGCCAACTCTTTGATGCAAAACGCAATGTCACACCTCTCCTGGGCCAAATATATACCCATGCCAACAACAGATCTGTATATAGCTGCATCTTGCTGTGGGATCGTGCTGGAGCCATCATAGTCCTGAATATCTGCTGTTGCCGGCAGTCGCTGACGCTTGACTGGTCCAAAGTGATCCTCGAAGGTCTTTACCATATTTGTGGCATAGCTCCCCGGCTTCACTGACAAGCCTTCGGGTGCGTAGACATATTTCCTCTTCAGGAAGGAGAACTCATCGCCATAGTTCTTCATCACATTGACTTCAATGTCAAACTTCTTCTTCATGCTCTGGATGAAATTGTTTACAGGCTCCTCCTTCCCCGTGAACATAATGTCGTCCACATGGATCAGTACACACACCAAATCTTCTCCAACTCCTCGCTTTCCAAGGCACGGGTTGATGATGTCAAAACTGAAGCCCTGTTCCTCGATCAAGTAGCTCCTCAAATGTTCATACCATGCCTTCGCCCCAATTCTCTGACCCGGCAAATTGCGTAGTACCTTGTACTCTCCAACTGCCGTAGTGATGCGCAATGGTTTCTCCTGAGGGACTTGTAGGAAGGCATCCTTGACATCTAGAGCCCCGATCACGGGCTTTCCCTTGTGGCGCTCAAAGTCCTTCTCCATGCTGGCGGCACTCAAGAAAAGAAGCACCGGCAAAAGGCGTAGAGCATATTGTCCACTTGCAGGGCTGTACACATCATCTCTTTTATCATGCGCATAATCTCTGGCTACCAATCGTGCTCTTCTCAACCACCTCTTGCGCTGAATACCACTCTGCTCAACGTAAGTTTTGATGCGCCAGTCATAGACGAACCTGGTGGTGAGCACATCAAGGTCTGCCTCGTGGGGCGTCAGCTTCTCGATGACATCCATTCTCATCAATCTCCTTTCCTCCACTCCTCGTGCACAGGCGTCTACTTCTTCTGCAGGTTGAGGTGGTGTATTAGTCAATGGATGATCAGACCACAGTTCTTCAGGAACCACCCCATGCTTGAGGTCCTCAACATCCTCCTGGTCCTCATCGATCATGAGAGTCTCCACATCTACTACCTCATCCAAATGATACATGTCCTCTCCAGCAATTTGGACATGTTCAACACGTCTTTCAATCATAGCTGATCGGGAGGCAGATGTGGAATGGCTCTCTCGTTCAGGTTCATCTATCCTCAACCTCTTGCTGTCCGGCTCGATCTTCACTGCCGATGAAGGTGGTGGGAGCTTTCGCAAAACTCTCCCTTCAGGAGGCACTTGCTCACTTTCCTCCCATGGGAGTGGTGGAATCACCATGGGGGTATCTCCTCCTGGGCCCCTACCCTCAGACTGCTCAACAGGAGCTGGGGGTGTCACCATTCCAGTATTGGGCTCATCATGTCGCGGGGCACTTGGTGCTGGAAGACCTTCAACAGCATCTTGCATCTCTCTCTCTTGCCGGACCTCATCAATCTCCCTCTCGTGTTCAGCAACACCTTCCTTGGATTGAGCATACCTCTTCACCTCTTCAGCATCCTCATCCTTGTATTTGAAAAACACTGACTCCAGAGCGGGCATATTTCCAGTCCTCAATGGAATTCCTGTGACGGCTCTCTTCGTCGGGATAATGTGTCCACCAAAATTGGTTTGGTATTCCCAGCTGGCCGTCTCAAAGTTCTGGTAATAGCTGAGGAATCCTGTCCAAGGCCTGTTCACCCGTCTGATTGATCTGGTCAGCATGATCTGGCTGCCATCACCAACAATCCAGGCATCCTGTCCATCGGTCTTGCCCAGGAAGATTGCCATCCTCCATCTCGGATTGCCTTTGCCGCTCCGAGGGCGAACATAGGCATACACCGGACATCCAAAGGGAACAATGGCTCCGTCATATGTTCTTCCATGGGCCAACTCATAGCTGGTGATACCTCTTGTAGCTTGGTAACGGTTCAACAACCAGCATGCATGTCTTGAGGCCCAGCTCCATAGGGTATGGTTGGTATTGTACGCTAGGCCAGTTCTTTCGGCAACATCTGCCATCAATGTACATGTCAGCCCTCTCACACGCTGAATGGCATTTTCTGCCAGGCTGTTTCCTGCCGAGTCACGAACCTTGGTGGTGTAGAGCCTGGTTCGTAGTCCCATTGCGTGTCGACTATTCAGCACTATGCGTAATAGGGATCTCATGGTCGGCTCATTGTCGGCATACAAGCCAACCTCAACATGCCCCAGGCTCTGAATGAAGGTCATGATCTCCCTGGCCATCAAACTCAATTGTCCCTTTGACTTCAACGGGACTGACCCCAAAGCTCCAGTTTGGCTATCCACCATGATCAGCCACAACGCGGGCTTGAGCTCCTTGATACGAAGTTCCTCAGCCTCCTTTCTCTCATCCTCCTCGTAGAGGTCAATCGCTATCTCTTCCTCCTGTTGCCCTTGGTCTCGAGGTTGTGGATGCCTGTCAATCTCTCCGGCTTTCGTGTAGCATAGGTCCAGTGAGATAATGGGGATTCCACTCAACCTCGAAGCACCAGTTCTGAGATGTCTATCAGGCCGCCCTCGGTGCTTCAAGCATGATGCGCACCAAGGCTGGTAGGGCACATGGGTCAAACAATGTCGATCCTGCTCCTCCTGCGAGGGAACTTTGATGCCCAACTGCTCTCGTGGTTGACGAGCCACCTGTAGTTGTGCTGCTGCAACTGCCTCGGCCGCCGCCTTGAGCTCCATTTCTTTCATATAGCTGACCAACCTCTGGTAGCACTTCAAGCGGCTGCCTGACTGGCTCACACCAAAGAAGTTGCAAGCCGCTCGAAGCTGTCGCAGTGGGCTCACTGATGTCAACTGTATCCCATTCACCAGGATATGGTCTGGCATTCCAGGCCCTAGAGCCAACTGTGCTTCTTGGACCACCGCCTCTTCCTCAATCTCCACTCTTTCCTCCTGTGGTTCATCAACAGGAAGCTCAACAGCTTCCTCCATAGCCACTTCGTGATCTCGAACTCGAATTGGCTGCTCTTCCAGATCCAACCCGGTCTCCACTTCAAAGCCCATCTCTTCAACACTCATAGCCTCCTCAGTGAGGATGGTAACAACGAGCACATTCTCAACAGCCCCCTCAATCATCTCCTCTTGGTCGAGAATTCGATGCAAATCCTCGCACATCTCGAGAAGCTGCCAATTCCCAGCCACCTTTGCCAGAGTTGTTCGCTTCCAGCTCGTCGTCGATGGGATGTCTCCCACATACTGTGGACTCTGAAAGGTCTTTCCCAGATGGACTCCAATCCACCTGTCTTCGGCCTTCCTCCATCCCACCTGGTACTTGATCTTCTCCTCGAGGTCCTGCTTCAACTTGGCCTCGAGCACACGAATTGTCTGGGGCTCTGCCGAAATGGCTCGAACACTTCCTTCGGCCACCAAACTCTTGTTCTGCAATCGTAGGGGAATTCTGATCTCCTTCTCCCCCACGCCATACACTAGTGAATGGTCTGAAATTCCCCATCCACTCTCCATCAACCTCCCAAATGAGAGGATTGGCTGAGTGATGCCGCTCGAGAAATGAGCCTTCTCGAAGACCTGTATCTCCTTCCCATTCTCCGCCTCGAAGACAAAGCAGACGCTCTTGTAACCTTCGATGGCGATCTTCTCACCTTGGGCGTCCTGAAGCACAGGCCCTTCCTCCTCAATTTCAACTCCAGCTGCCAGAAATGATGTTGGCAGCACTGTTGCATCGGCACCCGAGTCCACGATGATCGAGCAAGGTCCATGGTCACTCTGCACCCTCTTGCCCTCGCTCACCATCATGATGTTCAGGTCCTGACTCACCTCCTTATCGAAATCCTCGCTGTCCAGGTGGTAGAACTGAATCACCCTCACCTGGCCACCATGCACTTTGCCTCGCAGATCAAAGATAATGGGATCTTCAAATTCCTGTGAAACCAAGTCCACCTCCACGATTCTCTTCACAGCAGCTGTCTTGGCCGTTGTGGCCTGGCTTGTACTTGAGGTCCAAGTTGATGATGCATCACCCTGGCTCTGCTGCTGTTGCTGGTGGGGCGAACCATCTGCAACTTGTCTCACTCGCCAGCAGTCACGGGCAAGATGTCCGGGCTTGCCACATGTGTAGCAGGTCTTGACAGGCCCGCTATCTGTCTTTCCTTTCTGACCTTTGCTTCCATCACCCTTGGCATTGCCCTTTTGTTGACCTTTGCCCTGACCATAATCTTGACCTTTCTGCTGGCTCTTGCCTTTTCCTTTCGAATTCTTGCCATCTCCCTTGCCTTTGCCCTTGCTGTTGCTGTAGGCCTCCTTGCCTTTGCCCTTGTTCTTCCCTTTGTCGCCCTTCTGTCCAATGCGGTCGACCTCCATCGGTGCTAGTCCTCCGGAATCCTGACCAAGCATCATTGTCGAGCTCCACCTCAAAGTGGCATTATCATATTGAATAATGGCTTCACGAAGCCGGCTGTAATCCTGTGTCTCGGCCACGTTGAGTTGAAGCCAGGTCTTCAATTGACCGCTCACACATTTCATCAAAATGGCGAACTTCAAGCTGTCCTCAAGCCGACTGCCGGTGCGCTCATACTCGATGAAGGCTTCTTCCAACCGCAGTAGTTGAGCCAAGACGCCACCTTTCTTCATGTCGAACTGGCTCCACTCCAGGATCATTGTCAACAATCCCAACGAGCGGTTCTTGCTCGCTGGTTCGAGCAATTGCACCAGCATTCTATAGGCCTCTAGGCCATTGGCTTCTTTCACCTGCTTGATGAGGGACAAGGGGCGCTGTCGAACAAGTGAGGCCAGCAATGCATAGAGAAATGACCCTCGTTGACGTTCTTCATCAGATTGAATCGAAGGGTCAATGGGGCGATCTGGATTCTCCCGAATCTCTTTGAAGTCATCCGTGAAGCTGGCATCCAACGAAGCCAAATATTGCTCCAGCCCCCAACTGAAGTCTCTCCACATAGCCAACTCATCCTCACGGGATTTCGGCTCGAAGTTGCCTGGCTTTGGGAGTACTCGAAACCAGGCTTTGTCCTCATGGCCTCCCTTCTTCTGAATTGCCTCTGCTGCCAGGCGGGCAGCGAGGCTAGCCGATTCAGCTGCCTGAATCATCCTCATGGCCAATTCTTGACCATCCACCTGTCCTGCCACGGGTGAACCTGCAGGTGACAGTCCAGGCGAGCCCAAAGCCTCTCCATGAGTCCCCATCTTCCTCTTCAAGGATCTTCTAGATGTCCAGGATGTGGGCACGAGTGCTCTTGGCCTTCAAGTAGCCTCTAGCAAGGATTGCCGAGATGGCTTGGAACCGCCCGTCCGGATTTGGGCCCCGTCCGGATCGTGAGGAGCTTCGGAGCCTCCGGTGAGAGTCAAGCAATCACCATCCCGGGCTCCGCTACCATGCGGAAAGCTCCTTTGACTGACAAAGCGGTCTGCGGTAGCATACACATATCTTTGATATGTTGTGTATGAGTACATCTGTGCATTGTTCGTAGCATGACAAAGTTGAAATGGCTGAACCAAAGTCGAGCTGAGGATTCTGGATTTCACACTGCGCTCTGCATTGCACAGTCACATGCATGTGCAACAAATCCACGTCCTTGCTCCTAGTAGCGATGCCAGGAGCCCCTAGCAGTAGTAAGGCCAGGAGCCCCGAGTGGCGTCCTTACTCATCTCCAAGCTATCCAAGTTGCAAGCTTCTGGTTTGGCAGCTCCTCAAACTCAAAGTCATCCAGCGAGGAGACTTGAGCCTTCAGCCCGCGAGCACGGATGTCCTTGGGAGAAAACGCCAAGAATCAGTCAAGCCCGGCAAGGACTCAACATGTCGCAAGCCGCTTAAAACCTCAATCAGTGTCAACTGTATCCAATCATGCTACAAATGAGCATTCAAATTTGTCCTGCGTCAAATTCTTTGCCTGTTCTTCTGCATTTCCAGTCTCACTGCCGTAGAGAATCGTGACCTGCGCTGAAGATCTGCATGGTTGACGAGACTGGTCACAATCTTGTTTCGCATTTTGAAGTCAAATGGCTTTAGAAACACTTTATCCTAAAGAAGAAACGCTTTTTGTTATCCTTCAGAAATGTGACAAAGTGCAAGTATTTTTGCAGACCAGCGACCATGTCGGAGGTCGAGGCGGCATCAGAAAGTCCCTCCACCAGCTTGCTGAACTGACCTTCCAGGTCCTCCTTGTTCAACACCTGAAAGCCGAACGGCCAACATCGGCTCATTGTATTGAGTCTTTCTCATTGTAAATGGACTTAAATTGTGTATCTATATAAATATCGTTGACTCTCATTTCTCCTGTTCTAAAAAAGCAAATCGAGAATCTGTGGACAACAAATTCCAAACTTGCCGCCACCACTACTAGGAGCAAGGACGCTACCAGGGGCTCCTGGCGTCGCTACTAGGAGCAAGGTTCGCTACTAGTGGATTCTGTTTTCAGGCCTGCAACAAGTGGTTCTTCTGGACGACAGCCTCTTGCAACCGGTCGTCCAGCTCCTGTGCAAACAGCACTATATGAACCAAAAGCAACAAGAACAACAACAAAGAAGAAGCCATGGTAGAAAACAGCAGTTTCCCTGCTTTGCTTTGACTTGTGTAATTGATGGTCCCTGTGTTCCAGTGATAAATGATCCTTTAGAACTGGCTTCGGAAGGCAAGACACAATTCTTTCTCCTGGGCATGCTTGGGATCGCGGCGCATGACTGCTGCAAAGCGATTCTCCTCACCATTAAATATCAAATGAAAAGCCCGCTGGCAACATCCATCAATAATGACACCAACAACCAGGGTCACTGTCTAGAATTCCAGCTGCATGCTTCCATCAAGCTCGGAACTTCTATGCCAAGCTAAGGTCCTTCGCCAAGAACTTGAAGAGATCGCCCTTGATCTTCTTGCTATCTAGTTGGAAAGGATTGTTTCCATGAGCAGCTGCATCGGGATTGTAGCGGTACAAGGGCCAGTAGCCTGAGCAATGCCATCCCCATCATCCGGGAGAAGGAAACTGTAAGCTGAAACTGATTCGCTTCATCAAACGGATTGTAGTTTGCAGCAAGCAGCCACTGTCAACTGCCATCTGACAGTGCTGGATCGACTCAGCCATGGGGAAGCCCTGGCTGATGCAAGGGGCATAAGCCAGGATAATGCTGGGTCCTGGCGAAAGCAGAGCTGCGAATTCCGTTTGAGTCAAGTCAACATACACCGTTCCAAAAACGTCACAAAAATCTGGTGCATCTGAATGCTCTTTCTGGACAGTCCTGCATAAGCATCTGCCTCAATGAGGGCACGTACAGCCTGCTGTGGGTTCACATGCACGCAGATGCTGGCCACATACACCTCACCCAGGGACTGCACACTGTATCGATATCTAGTAAAACGCAATGATTGTATACACAAAAGGGCTGGCAAACGTGGAACCTATCTCTGCTCAAGCATCGCCAAGATGCGTTCTTGTAAGTCATGGCAAGCTGTCCTAGATCCTTCGAGCAGGGAGTGGCAATCTGAAAAAACTACCAGTACAACAAAGACTGAAACAACTGAAGCTCACTCCCAGTCCTTCTTCATGGTGGCCTTGCCCCCTTCTGCAAACTTTGCCATTGCACCTTTGGGTGTTGCCTTCGATGCCTGGCCACCTGTATTGCTGTACATCTCCTTAGGACCAAATGAAGGAGTTTGGGCCAGTGGCATGGAAGGCAGTGATTGAGTAAACTTCAACAGTTGTCAGCCAAGCGTGCCGAAACATGAATCATGGAATTGCTTGTCAAAGGGATTGGCAACAAAGGTAGTATAAGCCGTGAATCTGTGTCAAGCACAAGGATGTTGACGTGTTCCTGGTTCAAAAAGCCAAGAGTGACAACATCAAATGTCTTTGGAGCGCGGAGCACAGAACTAAATACGAACAGCACGAGATGCCTCGCTGGCAATGACGTGGTCAAGACCTCCGTAGCCGATGTCATAAGCCCAGCCATCGCCACCAACCATCCAGAAGCTGCTTCGACCAAACATATCTTCCCTGGTGGAAAGGCGCAAAATCAGACAAAACAAACCTGCAGACTGCAAAATGCTTCGCCACTTGCTCCTATCGCCAAGTGGCAGCTCGTAGAGATTTTTGATCTTTGCATGCGAATCTTTCTCCTGTCTCAAGTGTCTAATACCGAATCTTCTAATCGACTTCTCCAGCAAATCATGGGACACCACCCGCAGGTGTACCTGAAGGCATTGTTCCCCACTGTGCCTTCTCAAGCACAGGCACCAACTTCTCCATGATTTGATGGTAGATACTTCGGCCACGAGGCAAGAGCAAATCATGCATGTTCTCCTGACGGAGATCTGTCCAAAAGAACAAAGCTGCGATGCTTGCACAGTACATCTCGACAATTGCGTGCATATTTATTTCAACACATGTTGATGCGAGACAATTATTGTGAATTCTGTATACGTCCAGCAAACCGAAAGGAATTTCAGCCGCTGACTTACAGCAGGATAGTCTGTGCAGTGGCTACAGGCTAGCAAATGAAAGAGCTGTGAAACAATACGAGTTGAATCTTTTCACTTCTCTCCGTGTGCCTTGCGCATCACCAGGAACTGGTTCAGAGCCGCACGAAGCTCCTCGCTCATCACCACTGTCTTGTCTGCCAAAGCGTCCTGCCCAATCAAAATGTTCCAACGGTGTGGACACGGTCAGTCATTTCTTTTTTTTTTGGCCCGTGGCCCTCCCTCCTTACGTAATGAAGTAAGCGCCAACTTAATTAGGGAACTATACAAACAGGCTCCGCTACTACACATGGACGTAGGATAGTCTTTTGCTTCTTCAAGGAAGCTTCCCCCGCCTGAGGGCGGGGGGCAGCTTCCTTGAAGAAGCGCTCGCACCAATGATTTGGTTCGTAGATTTTTAGGGAAACATATCTAGTTATTTTCTATTGATTGTAAAGCAAACCACGGTTATACAGCACCAATCTACAGTAGCTACTCTTACACTCTTTCAAACCAAGGCATGTGTCGCATGGTCTTTCTGGCACCTCCACTTGATTTGCCAAATAGTCACGGCGTTGCTTGAATGCCTGAAACAAACATCACAAAACAACGAGCAATGGGAGCACAATCTCGACACACTTGTATAAAAATAAACCCTGTCTTTTGGACAGTCCAGGAGCAAAAGTGATGTGGAATGCTCTGAATTCTAAGGGGCAAAGTGCCTTGCGCATTCCAAAACCAAACTCTGCATTGTCTTCGAACAGTGAGTTTGCCCATGCAGGACCTGCACAAAGTTGTGTGGCACAAGCAAAATCGGTACAATTTGAAAATACATGAAATTTATTTTTCTCTGTGATTGCCATGCATGAGAACGTTTCACAAGAAAACACGTTTGTTCACAGCAAGACTCACACGCGCAACTCTTTTTTCTCTCTGGGGTCGGACACGAAATTCGTCGCGCTTTC